TTGTTGATAATTTTGCTCGAATGCTAAGAGAAACTATTTAGCTGGAGACTTTCTCTAAAATTTGGAAATAGCAGAGGTAGTATTAAAAAAACCAAAGAAAGGAAAGGAATCTCATACCTCAATAAAAGTAATGCATTCATCCTGTCTATTGAAAAGAATAGGCTAAAAGATTTTGTGTATGGTGACTGCTTCAAGAGAGGATAGGAATCTGCTTGTCTTTGCATCTATAATGCCTTTTCTTGCTGCAGTAAGTGGCCATTCAGGGCATTAACTTCTAATGTCTTCTCTTGTGAGAAAGTTGTGTCCGTCCTCCCACCCCCCAAAAAATCTTATCCATGGGTTGGTATTGCTCCACATCAATGAGATAGCATGCCTGTGAATATTGGCTGTGCTTTTTGTGTATTTTATTTTCGTAATCCTTATCAGGGCTTCCTATAGTGCATTCTATTTCTATTATTTTAGAATAATAGAACTTGAAGATCCTAATCTAATGAAAGCTATTTTCTAAACTTTTCTAAAAGATTGGGGTGGTAATGGCAGTAATTACCTTTTCATATACGTTCCAGAGGTAATATTCCCCCTCACTCACAAACAATTTCCTATTAATACATTAAACCATTAAGCATTTCAACCACATGAACACTGATGGATCTTTCCTTGTTTCTTTGTATACAGAGAGTTTGGATGGCGAGATCCGGAACTTCCAGAAGTTATTCAGATGTTACAGCATCAGTTCCCCTCTGTACAGTCTAATGCTGCTGCTTATTTACAGCATTTATGCTTTGGCGACAATAAGATAAAAGCTGAGGTAAGAAAATCATTTAATAGGAGAGAATATATCTCTCTGTGTATTTGTATGTGTGTCCGCATCTCGATGTTGCAATTCTGAAGTGGCTTCATCAGACCAGTATTAAGTACTTCTGAATAGTAACTTTGTTTGAACTGGGCTGAAGACCTGAGCATTTTGGGGCTGGCTTCATGGATTCTGTTTGGGAAGAATAAAGCTAATTGCCCTTTTTATTGTAAAGGTATGTGCAACTTTCAGTGCTCTCTGTTTTATGAAAAATGTGTTCATCAATTTTGATACCACTTTTTGCTAATTTTTTTCCTTACAGCTATGTCTTGATGAGAGGGAAAATACAATTTAATCTGGTTTGGTCAGGTTAAACAGGTTCTCTAAAATATCACTTTTTAAAAGCTTCTCAGTACAAAACCAAAATATTATATTAGTCCGTCTTAAGTATCCTGGCTTAACAAAAAAAAAAACAAAAAAAAAACAGGCTTCTCTGATTTTTATGGAATATGATAACTCCCTGATCCAGAGACTTCTGTCTTGAGTTGTTCTTACAAGCAAGTTAAGGATTTCTATCATTTCTTCCTCTCAGAAATACATGAGGGCATGTAGCATTACTCTGCATCTCTTTCTACAAGGGATTGTTGCAAGAATAGATGATTTATTTAGTTCACATAAGGCATTGGGAGCTAAGGAGAATCATATTAATGGGGGTACTTATAAAAATGTCACCAAAAATTGTACATATAGTTCTAGCTTATTGACCATTCATTCGGTCAATGACCATTCAAAGTTACAATGGCTCTGAAAAACAAGACTTAAAAATGGTCCAAAATGGTCCTCAAAGTTGCAGCCATCGCAGCGTTCCTGTGCTCATATGGTCATGTATTTGGCATTTGGTAAGTGGCTCACATTTATGACAGTTGCAGTATCCTGCAGTCATGTGATCTCCGTATACAACTTCATAGGCAGCTTCTGAAAAGCAAAGTCAATAAGAAAACCAGCAAGAAACCACAAGCCACATCATGTTGTGATTATCAACCTGTGGTAATTCGCTTAACTATATTCAGAACTAACAGGAACTGTCATTGTAATTTGGTGCCTAATGACTGTGCTGCTTAGTGATGGAGTTGTGAGTCCCTATTGCAGCTGGTAAATTAGTTTATGGGTCAGTAAATGAGGACACCTGTAGTTGTAATTTTGTTTTGAAAAGATTTTGCATTTATTATTCTCATATGTATAATTTCCCAATATGTTTTCATTTTTGCAATCAGCTTCTACTTAAACTTTCATTAAAATGATTATTCATCTCTTGATTTTTCTTGGAAAAGAAGCTAATAGGTAATATTTCTTTTAAATGTACATCGGCAAGTCCTTTCCATTGACATCAAACTGATCACTTTTAGGAAGCTTCTGTAAGTTGTTCTTTTGCCATTTTCAGGAAGTCCTTTAGGAGCCTTAGTGATTGAACAGCTGATCAGTCCATTCTGCACATTATATTTTATGATTAGCTCTTATAAATTGCTCTTCTTGCTAGAGTTGCAGTAAGTTGGCAGCATGAAACTTATTTTTCCATATTCTGAGTAAACAAGATTTATGCTATGAAATGGCATGCTTCCATTTCAGACCTCAGGGAATCCTGGAGTACTTAATTTGAATCATAGAATAAAAAGTATCTTAGAGATCATCTAGTCCAATTGCCTCTCCAGGGCACTATTATAGCATCTCTGACAGATGGCTTTCTAACCTCTGTTTACACACTTCCAGCAAAGCAATCCACCTCTTCCTGAGGCAATGTATTATATTGTTAAACAGTCCTTATCGGTAAGAAATTCTTCCTGATGTCCAGACTGCTTTCTTATAAGGTTTCCTGGAATAACAGTAAACAGAAATGCTTATTGTCTCCTACATGACAGCCCTTTAGCTACTTTAAGACAGCTGTCATGTTTCCTGGCAATCAAGCTAAACATAGCCAGCAATTTCTAATGTTCTTTGTATTTCTGTTATAATGATGGCTGCTGTCCTCTGGACTTAGTCCGGTTTTCCAGTGTGCTTCCTAAACATAGTGTTCAGAATTGGATGCAAAATTACTGGTGTGGTCTAACCAGTACAGAATAGAGAGGAAAGAATACTTCTCTTGACCTTTATACCATACCTCTGTTAATGCAGTTGAGAATTGCATTTGCTTTTTTTCCCCAGGTGGTTCACAGTGTTGGCTAATGTTCAGCATGTGAACCATCAAAATATCCTGATACTTTTCATGCACATTTTTACTCAGTACATGGTGTCCTCGGTCATATCTTTGATTTTTTTTCCTATTTGAAGAAGAACTTTCCTTTTCTTTCTGTGAAGATTCATCTGTTTGGCTTCTGTTCATTATTCCAGTTTGCCAGATCTTCCTTCATATTATATTACCCTCTAACATGTTTGCTACAATTTATCTTTTGTTATACACAGATCTCATAAACTTATTTTGTAACCCTTTATCCAAGTCATTTATAAATATTTTAATAGTATGGATCTAGAACACAGTACTGTGGTACATTATTTAATTACTCCTACCATCTGGATGTGGGGACCATTAAGATATGCTTGTTGGGTACAGTTGTTTAGCTAGCATAGTATGCATAGACCAATTCATATATTATCATCTTCTCAACTAGGATCTCAACTTTGCTGGTCAAGATTTATTTTTGTCTACCACATTCCCATGGTCAACCAAACCAGCCACTCTAACAAAAAAGAAGATCAGATTGATTTAGGAATCCTTTACTCCAGATCTAGCTCTGACATTACCAAAGTGCAACAGCTGTTCCAGGCATGAACCTTAAAAGACAGTGAATGACAGCAAGATTTTGAAAAATAAAATTTGTTGCCTTGCCATTTATGTTGCTGCAGTTAGATATGATAAAAAATATGCTGTTTCATTATGAATGCTAAAATAAAATTCTAATATCAGTTCAGTGCACTTATGAATATGAAATGGAAAGAAGAAGGGTTGTCATTCATTGTGGGAACAAAATGTTTGAGGCAGCCTGCTTTAGACTCACTTCAGGTAGTGCAACTATGACACTTATATTGTAGCTTATACCTTTTTTGTTTTAACAGCATTTCCTCACATTAAATTCTTAACTCTACCAAGCTGCTTGGTACAATTTGCAGAATCATAATTAGAGATACAGGTAGTCCTTGTTTACTGATTGCTCATTCTGCAACCCTTCTGTCATGCCCTTGATGGAGACTGACTCTAAGGGAAAGGAGGAACAGCTGATAGGGAGTGGAATTGTGGCTCCGGAGGTTGTGGAGGAGGCTGGGGAAGGGCAGAGGACAGCTGGGCAATCAGAGGAGAACCCAGGCCCGTCCCCTCTCCATCCTAGGGCATGCAGGGAGGAGAGGATAAGGGAGAGACATGGTCTACTGTGGAGGAGAGGGCCTTGATCCCCTTCCTGGGCTGCAGCTGTGACAACTGGATAAGGGGACAGACATGCATACGGGGAGTGCTGGAAAAAAAGCGTGGAAATATCTCTAGTTTATTGTTCCTCTCTGAGTTTGGCATCTTTCCCAGTGTGTGTTCTGATATCTGTCAAAGTCTTCAAGCCCTTATCTTGCCTGGTTGTGTTGTTTTTTACTCTTTATAATTTATAGGCATTTTTAGTTTAAACGGCATTTCGTCCTTCTTGTAACTGCTTGTGTGGGAGTTTTTTGTCTTTAGTCAAGGATATTTGGAGCTTGGAAGCAAAGTGAAGGAATAAAAGGGGTTTTACCTGTTTTTATTTTGTATCCCACCCTGGGTCATCACACCTTCAAAGTTACAATGGTGCTGAAAAACTAACTTAGTGGCCAATTTACGCCATTTAGGATTTTCACAGTGTCCTATTCATATTTGTTGTTCTGTGCCTAACCTATTCATAAAACACTCTTTGTTTGCTTTTATTGATTTCATTAGGAAGGCATTTAATTTTTCTTTTCCAAATTTATATGGATGCAATAGCAATAGCACCCCAAAGTAAATCTAGTTTGGGATCAGATCAAAGACTATTCCAGACTAGCATTCTTTTTTGCATCCTTGCCAACCAGCAGCTAGTATATAAGGCCAGGTTACCTTTGCTACCGGTAGTATTAAAAGAAAAAATACGGTACAATCATATATCTATTCTTAAGAAATGGGTCATTTTCATTTAATATGCAATAAAACAAAAATTTTATGCTGCTATCCCTTCTGCAAAAAATTCAAGGCAATTCTATATTTTGGATTCCTCCATTTAACCCATACTAATTGTAACAAATATATTAGTTTAAAGGATAGTTTTGAAGTCAATCCCTGATTTTCACCACCTAATCTCACACATTGCACTGCATTTGATCTTAAAACCTTAGCAACATTTTGAATAGTTCATTTATTAAATGTTTACTAGTGGCATTAGTCAGTATTATTTAGCAATTCATTTCAGAGCATTGGCATCAATAGTTGGGATTAGATTTTACAAAAGTCCCAACAGTTAATGATTTATCAGTCCACATATGGTCAGATTGAATTCTTGTGACAACAGAAATTAAAATTAAGCCTATGTTTTCTTTGAGTTTGGTAATTCTGCAAACATGAAGAAATAATGTCAAGTTCTTTGCAAAACAGTGGCCACACAAGAAGGCATGAAAAGATATGTACTAGCCCTTCTGCTTCTTATTTTTCACTCATTTTTAACAAATAATTCAATGGAATTCAATTTTCTGAAGAGTTACATTCCTTCCCTTTAATGCTCATATCACTACATTAAAGAAGGCCAATATGTGCTTATGATAATCCCATTTTGTTTTTTCAAAGAAATTTTAATTATTAGATCATATTTGTAGCTTTAATTTGATTTGAACTCAGCTCTTAGCTTTATTACAAAAATCCACTCCAGCACCTATTTTAACGGGTGCTGTTGCTTTTTTATTTATACATAAAATAATGGTCAGGCTTGAGACTTAGTCATACTGTGGTTGATTTTTTTTTTTTGTTAATCTAATTGAAA